GGGAGAATTACATTAATTAAGGCCACACTTGCTAATTTACCTATCCTTTTCATGTCGGTATTTAAAATCCTTATGAAGGTTTCTAATAGATTGAAGAAGTTGATRAGAGATTTTCTATAGGAGTTGGGAAATGAGAAGAGGGATCATAGAGTTAGTTGGGAGATAGTGAATAGGAGTAAGACTTGTGGTGGTTTGGGGCTTGGAAATATTAGGAGAAAGAATATGGCTCTGTTGAGGAGGTTCCCTACGGAGAAGGAGAAGCTATGAGCTAGAATAGTGGCAAGTATACATGGGCTGGAGCACAATGGATGGGACGATGAAATCAGAGCTAGGATCACAAGCAATTCTCCTTGGAAAGCCATTGATGACCTGCTACCAGTATTCTCCCATAATATCAAATATGATTTGAATTCCGGTAACTCCATAAAATTTTGGGAACAAACATGGGTGGGGAGTACCCTCTAAAGGACTGTTTTCATTCTTTGYATGCTTTATCTGATTTGAAAATTGAGCCAATCTCATCTTTCACCACCCTGTCATCTTCCACTTCTGGGATTGGGTGGAACTTGGGCCTAAGAAGGGATTTGAGGGACTCAGACTTCGATAGTATTTCAAGCCTTACTACACTTCTTGATAACGTTGTCTTAGACCCCATTAGGGTGAATTTTAGAATTTGGACACCTAACCCCAATGGCATCTTTTCTTGTGCTTCCTTCTTCAAAGTCTTAAGTCAGTCCATCAATCCTACTTTTCCCTTTCCCTGTTGATGAGATTTGGTGYAGAACAATATCTCCTAGGGTTGATAGTTTTTGTTGGAAAGTCTATCTGAAAAGAATCAATACTAATGATCTACTCCAAAGAAGAGACCCAATACTTGCTTGTCACCTCATTGGTGTGCTCTTTGTAATGCGGATGGGGAGATTGGTTTTCACCTACTGGTGTCTTGCCATCTTGCGAGGGCTATCATACATATTAGGGTTGTATATTGGCTGAAATTTTTGGAACTATTCACAGATTACACTGTGGATGAAATGTTGAAGAAGTAGGGTGAAATGGCAAATTGTACATAGACCAAGTCAGTAATGAGTGTGTTTTGGACCCCTCCACTTGTTGGATTTTTGAAATTAAACTTTGATAGGTGTAGTAGGGGAAATCCGGGATTGGGRGTRTTTTTAAGGATGAGAATGATGTCATCTCTACTATGTTTTCAGGCCCAATTGGAGTGAGTGACTCCCTTAGAGTTGAGATCTTTACAATTATGAAAGGAATCCAAAAAATTAAGGAGTTAAACATCAGGAAACTCATAATTGAAGAGGATTCAGAAGTGGTGATAGAGTGGCTGAATAAAAATAACAATGGCTTATGGAAGTACAGTAATGAGAGGCGGAAATTTAAGTGGCTGGTGCAGGAGATGGAAGTTAAGATATGCTGGGTTAAAAGATCGGCTAATTCCCTAACTAATGGTATAGYTAAACAAGGGGCAGAAAGGGATTCACTGTTTTGGGCTAAGCTGTAACTTTAGTGTTTTTTCCTTTTCTTTTTCATTTTATTGAAATCCTTTGTTGTTCTTGAAAGATAAGTGTGTTTGTCTTCCTCTTGTAAATCTTCTATTGCTGATTTAATGAAAGTGTTAGCAAGCGTTACATAAAAGCATTAKAAATCCAGGCAAAGTTGGCAGCTTTCAACTAGAGATCTGGGATTTCAAGCTGCAACTCTCAATCTTCAGCGAAGTACTTTTCTTCAGCATCATGGTTGGCCTCCCTTAGCCAGTGATCATCCAACGTCTCATCATTATCTATTTTAGAATAGTCTAAATGCTGAGAATCTTCTCCTGACAAAAATTTCTGCTGCATCATATAAGTGAATTGTTCCATCCTATCTTGCATCTCGGCAGAAGATAGAGTTGATCCCTCATGGACATTACTGTTAATCTTCTGAGAACCATTTTCTGTCGCTTGATCTGCAACCACCTGCATTAAAATTGTCAAAACAAAAATACATCATATGTTTATCCATAAAAAGTGGTAACACAACATGCAACTGTTTCTGACATCGCATGCTAGCTATATATAAGCAAAGGTCAACACCACCTCACCAATAGTCCAATTGGCCTGACGAAAAGGACAGGAGGTACTGATCAGCCAGCCCAAAAGGGCGGTAGATTAGGGATGGAATTAGGTACTCGTTTACTATGTGTACTGTCGTGGTTATTGTCTAGTTAGATATCTACTAAACAGAACTCTGAAAATCTTAGGGGTCACTGAGTAATGGCTGAAGTGACTAAATTGAATATCTTGTGAATAAGCCATTAAGTTGTGATCTCCTTAATGGATGAATCTACTTCAGCTATTATGTAAAGAATAGAAAAATGTCCATATTTACTCTTTAAGGATAATAGTTGAAATTAAATTCCAAATAATATATTAGCAAAAGAATTTCAAAACTCCAGAGAGGGTACTATACTGACGATTATCAGAGAACATATATATATATACCACTGTAAAACAATTAAACTTCTTCTGGTCTAGTTTCTAGCAACATCTAATCGCTATTCAGCCTATACATTAAAAAGGATGATAAAAATGTCTTTAATCAACCCAAGCCTTGTCCCAACTATATGGCATTRGCTACAAAAATCCTGTTCTGCTAGACTGCTCTATCTATTAGTGCCATATCCATTGTTATATCTCATCAGGCCTTAAGCCATTTCTTGTGCCGCAATTCCTGTATCCAGTTGTTTGTTGCACTCTTTCTTTTCTTTTCTTTTCTTTCTCGCTTTTCTAATGCCACAACATAACTAAAAAGCAGATCCAGGGCTAGCAATAATTGGTTGAAATTTCAGAATATCATAAATTCAGTTTCCTTTTTTTTTTTTCTATCTCATTTTTTAAATATAAACCTCGATCTTCAGTTCCAGATATAAATAACAAGGTGATATGATGTTAGACCTGGCAAACTGAATCTTACCTGAAGCAGATCCAGGTYTATGAAACACCCAATCGGAACTTTAGAAAACAAAACAAATGAGTCACCAGACCATGGGATGGTTCATGAAACATAGAGTGGGATCAAAATGCTGGAGAATGAAAATTAATAAGCTCCAAAATCTGGGAGCAGTTGGCATGCAATTTTTTAAGTACAGGCAGTGTTTTAAAAGGCACACCTAAGCAAATAAGTGAGGTGCATTTCAATGCATGCACCTTGACTGAACTTGGTCACAGCCCCTTTCAAAAGGTGCACTTGGTGGCTGGTGCACCTAACCATGTGCCGTTTTAAAATGTCTGTTTTTTTTTTTTTTGCTATTTTTTAGGGATTCAAACTTGTGTAATGGTTTACCAACTTCTAAAATAAATAAAAACAGATGCATTTCAAATACCTAGAACCTTAGAAACTTTGCTACCTGGGATCTATTTGCAAATAGCTCTTGCAAATGGAAACTTGAACTTCAAAAGAAATTAAATGTTTTAAAACCTGGCTCAAATTAATGTACATAAACATGACATATAAAACATATATAAAGTGAAATAATTGTTATGAAAGCAAACATATGGGAATTGTACCAAAATGCTTCGAGCACTCAACAATTCAAGCATGTGAAACCTTCAATCTGTTTATTTATCTGCTAGTTGTATTACTACAACTAGCTACTAGCTAGTGTTATGTTAAGCACTTGCATTCCTAATCCTGGGAGACTGGCTCTCTACCTCTGTAAAGATCCCTTGAAGTGTGAATCCAAGGGAACAATGCTAGATAGCCATTGAATGTGTATTGATGACATATGACTGCTATGGATTCAACTCTTATATAAGGTATTCAAAGACTTAGCCTATCACATTTTTCTTCTACCATGTGATTACAGGCAACATACTTATGAATACCAAATAAAGGAAAACTGAATATAAGATGGTAACACAGTTACTAAATTGAAATGGGCTTTCAATACAAAATTCATAATTGTGTGTGGAAGGGGCAATAAACCATCAAAAAGGTTCCTACCCTCCTACTAGATATTAGATAAGAGAGTAAATGCTGTTGTTATTATCTTACAAAGCCTGTATTTGGCACTTGAAAGTAACCATCAAGCCTTACTACAAGATTTAGGACTATAATCAAAAGCCATGAACCTAGAAACTAAGATCGGAAACCTTGATAAGGGTAGAAATTGGGTTGCTTAATTTGAAGAATTTCAAACAACAAGTTCTATTTAGGGATTGCACCCATTCAAAATTTAATAAATGGCGAACCCAACCCAAGGTTGCACCCCTATTCAACAGAATGTCTCACCTATATCTTTAAGCCCATGTATCTAAAGAGAGAAGAAAAGAGATGGCTAATGGATCTTTCCATTTTACTAGCACCCCTTTAAATTAGGAAAATTCAATTCCAGGACCAATACGATATGGGCATATCATATCATTCATATCAGCAAGTTCCTGATAGTGATATGGAAAACATATGTAATTTGGGGTTTTTAGTCTTTTCAGGGGGTAGGCAGGTCTAAGAATGGCCCCCTGAACAATTTTTGAAAAAAAAAAAACTAAGAAGAAAAAGCTATGTGCCTTGAATACACCCAATAGGCAAGTTCGTGTATATCAGGTGTATCAATACTTCAAGTATAATTGTATTAATCAGTATCAAAAAACATGTGTCAGTAGAATGAGATTCTGTACATAAGAAATCAACTATCCCCAAATAAGTTTACAACCAAAAAAGTAGAGAGAGTTCGTTATCCTGTAAGCACCCCCGAACGGCTACAACCTTGAATGTGAAGCTACAATGCAGGAGTAAATGATTGGAACACTCTTCTTTCTCCAAAGAGAGGGGGCAGAGGGTTTCTACAAGATTTACACCCTTTCTTATATGCATTTGCTTGGTTAGACATTTCTTCCAAGCTACTACCCAGGTGAAAATATCAGGGGGCAGCATCTGGAATCTTGAAATAGAGAATAAACAGTCTAAGATTGAAGCAACCCCAGCAGCTCAGAAACCTGGGTTAGTTCCCAGTCATTAAAAAGTTTCCTGATGGAAATAGGTTAGTTACATAGTGGCATTAACAACCATCTTGAAACAATAGAATATCAAGGTCCTTGATGGTTTTCCTCCCCATTCACGAGAAGAGGAACTTTTACTGCCCTTTATTGTTTTCAATATGTAAAAATGAAACCAACATATTAAAAAGACAAACGTGTGAGATGATGCTTTAGCTTCTCCAAATGTGTAAGACATGAGTATTGAAGCTTAAGGTTTAAGACTCATGACACATCATTTTCCTTTCTATAAAGCATGATTTAAGTGAAAGAAAAAGTAGACAGGATATGGAAAATGCTAGCATACAGCCCCTTTTGGGTTTTTGGCCTCTTGTTGTCATGTACATCCTTGCATGTATCTCTCTCCCTCAAAAAAAAAAAAAAGGCTAGCATACAGCCAAGATTTTTG